ATCTGCTTAATGCCTTTTTCGGCTTTGGGAGAACTTTCAGGCCGCTACAGGTAAGGCGGATCTTCGGCGTAGTCCAAAGTGCTGTCCTCTGATGCAAGCAAAGTAGCCGCAAAAGTAACCACCACGCACAACAGAAGTAAAGTAAATTAAGTTGCATAAAATTCACATGCTAACTGATGTACTACTACAACTATTGTCTTGCAGGTTAGGCGGAAATTTAAAATGCAACGCAGTGCTTGCAGAGGAGACCTACTTGACCGCTATGCTTAGTAGACTCCTCATTTTATTTCTTTTTTTTCCCCTAAATATATGACTAGGTAAATTATAAAGAAGTCAGGAAAAACCGTTAAGGAGTAAAAAATGTACCCTCAAAGAGCCAATTTCAAGAAAGGCGGATGATAGCGATGCCGATTTTGCAATCCGCTCCACGGCATCGACCCATCAATGCAACCTCACAAGGGCTCAACTTACACATAGTCAAGCAGCTGTCTTAAAGCAGTGTTTCTGTCACGTTTTGTCTAACCCTGGTTACAATTCGTGTCGCTCCTTAGATCTACCCTAAACACCGAATTCGGAAAAGACAAAACAGCTTTGATTTTTGAGGTAAAAGTCGATACCTCTGACAGTGATTCCCGCACCTTTAGTATGTCGTTGTCTTCTCACCACCAAATCCATGGCAAAACACTGGAAGTGAGAGGAGACCAAAGAAGTCGATTTACATCAACTTCAGTAGTCCAAGTCCTTCCTTAAAGACACACTGGGCGATACAGATGCGGAGTAGATGGTGGGTCACCTCCAGACGCAGGTGAAAGTCAATGAGGCTTCCTCCACGATAATTGTAAAATTTGAAGCAACTTTTCCTTTTTTATACTGACTAAATTGTGCTTTTGTAAGGATAGTAACTGGGCATTGGTATGCGTGTGAAAAGCTTCATTGCTGAGCCATTCAAAATACAAATTGACAAAGGGGCTCTTCGTTGCCCTCCCCCTTCTCCCTTCTCCCCTCTCCCCGGTCTCCAGTATGAAGAGGTATTAAACTCTTAATTCTACAAGAAAATTTAAAATTATTCTCTATTTTATGCTTTGATTAGTCACCTCCTCTCTCCAACTCTGCATCTACCTCTTCTCCGTCGTCGTCGTCGTCATCGTCGTCATTATTTGCTATCTCAGGTGTAGTAAGTGGTTTTCGAGCTCCCTCTGTAAGACTCATTTCATTCTCTTTCCCTTTTCTCTCCCGTTTTCGTCGACAAGACAATGTTTTCTTGCTAACCATTTGGCCAACCAGTATGCCAGCTAGTGGCAATGGCGTAAAAATGGACACAACAATAGGCATCACGGCTCCCATGTCTCCTTCGGGTTGCGGCAT